AAGAAAGAAAGAAAGGAAAAATGAAGAAAGGAAGAAATAAAGGAAGGAAGGAAGGAAGAAAGAAAAAAAAAGAAAGGGAGAAAAAAATAAAGAAAGAACAAAGATATGCATAAAAATGGAAACGTACAAATAAAAACCAGTCGAAAAGTGAAATATGGGAAAGAAAAAATGGGAAGAAATTGCTAAATACTTAAAAGACATGTAGTGTACAAATAATATTCTGATTCTTATCAATGTGTTATTTCAGGTATTGTTTTGTATCGAGAATTTTATGGATTAACCTTCCTAGAGATATTTATGTTTTTATTTGGGTAAGTTTTTATAAAACCTAAATTTACTGGATTTTGTATAATTTTAATATCAAACTAAATCCTATACTTTAGCTTAGAGTTAGATGGTAAAACTCTTAACTGACAGTCTCGCACAATGTCATGAGTATAAGATCAGTTGATCAATCAATCACATAATAAAAAAATTCTTAAACAAGCTTTGCAACACACTTTGCTAGGCTTAGATTTCCAGCCTTTGGGATTTTGTGCGCACRCAATACTCTCCAGCTACTGGGGAGAGTGTTACAGTTGCACAAAACCCTAACCACTTGAAATCTGAGTTTCCTTACTTACCTGCCTTCAGTTTAGAAATGAAATTGGGAAGAAATTGTGGGAAAATAGGCAATTTCTTTCTACTCTTACAACTGAAATATGTTTTACGAGAACTTGCGTCACTTCAGACCACTATTGCAAGTGTGTTCTCCATAGCAGTGCCTTTAGTTTTTAACTAAATCTTTCTATTTGTAACTTTTAACTAGGTGTGTTCTGTCATTTATTGGGGTTTACTGCATCACTTCCAATCGTAAGATGGAAAGTTCAGAGGGACATCTTCTGCTCACGAATGCCGACCTCTTCCCAGGTGAGTTTCTATCTGTATTCTTACTGAATTGCAATACAAGCATTTAATTATTTGCAAGTTATGCTAGAGCTGTTTTCATACAGGTGGGAAACAATGCAAGTCTAAACTCGAAGCTGTACTGTATTTGCACCCTATCTTGTCAGAGCCATAGTAACATACATGTATGATTGCATTTTGGATTGAATTTTAAATGTGTAGTTCCAGAAATTATCCATACCCACCCCACAGAGGAATTTGGAATTTCCGAAGAGTAGGGGGGTCAGAGAAAGAACAAAAATTACAGAGTTTGTATGGAAGAAAATTGGAATTTCTGGGGGGTAGGGGGGTGTCTTAAAAAAATTCCTCTGTGAGGAGAGTATGGATAATTTTTGGAACTACACAATATATATATATATATATATTGGATTGAATTACTGGAAGACAATGGAAAAACATTCCAATGTTAGGGTGTTACGTACCATGTTTCCCACTCATACACAAACTGCTTAATTTGATATCTCTTACTATTGCATATTCAAAAGCTATCATATCAAAGCCATGATAAATTATCAAAGCTATTTTGTATTGTACTGTTATGCTTTTTGCATAAGTAACTCAGTAATTCTAATATCATTTTTTCCTTACCTCAATGTTTTCTAGGTTTTCTTTCCCTGTCATCATCTAAGCTCATAGCAGTACAACCTGGAAATGCATTTTCAGCTGGCACACAGGAGTACCCCATGTTGATGGCCAAAGCAAGCCAAGACAATGTCTCCGATCCTGAAGTGCCCGAGTCACCCAAGAAACCTCTCGGGGACCCAACATCCATGGATAGGTAGTAATGAAACCATAGTAATCAAGTCTATTTCRTTGAAATAGAGCAGTTTTCRTATGAATGTGATTTTTCTTAGAATTTTAATTGGCTGATTTTTTCCTTGCACAATGTGATTGGTCTGGCAGTRCCTTTACTTTTGTGTGTCTATGTCATCGTCGTGTTCATGCCACGTTTCAAGCATTTGATTGGATGAGGAGTAAATTCTCGTGCAATATGATTGGTTTGGAGCATACCTTGCCGTGTCACATCCATGTTCATGGCGTGAGCTTTTCACAGTCATACGAAAACTGCCCTAATATTCATTTAATATTTATTTAACTGGTATCCTATAGTACCATAAAATGTCCATATATTTACCTTTAATATTTATGTATTACCCTTAATATTCCCAACTGTTGGGAAAATTGAGAGAATATAAGTCCATTTATTATATTTATCCAAGCTAAAAATAAAAACTTCAAGTCAAAAATGAGGGTTATTGTGAAAAATATTAGGGACGCAAAAAGTTGTATGTATCACTG